AGCAAATATGACAAAAAATATTTGTTATAAAAGTAACTCAATGCAGCTTTAAATTAATATGAATTCCATTGTTGGATTATTGTTATTATTCATGGTTTAACGTGTAAGTAGCTGATTTGAACTGCTTTATATCAGTGGTGGAAAAGTAAAAGTAGCAATACCACAATGGGAAAATGCTGTTACAAGCAAAAGTCCTGCATCAGAAAATGTTACTTAAAAATACTTAAGAATTTACTCAAAGTATCACAAGTAATAATACTTATTAGTGTGCAGAAATCCGGCCCATTATATGAGTTTTAAATTGTTTGATTATTGTTACTGCTGCATTATGGCAAAGTAGAATTTGACTTGTTGGTGAGCTGGAGCTAGTTATCTATATTAGGTGGTTTAACCCATAAGGATGTATCATATTTGTAATCTGATCATAGTTTTTGAATGTAAACTATTAGTTTGTAAAGTAACTAGTAACTACAGTTACTCAGATAAATGTAGTGGAGTAAAAAACATAAATATTTCTGACTTCGGACTTACCCAAGTAAAGTAGTGTATTTAAGTAACACCCATGTAAAATGGAAATGCACAAGTCAAGCACAAGTACCTTCCCTTTAAAGTACTTGAATAAAATTACTTAATGTAACGTTACTTTCCACCATTACTTAATTTATTGTCTGGTAGCTTAACCTACAACAAAGCAACAAAAGCAATGATAATACACAGAGTGGAAAGTAGGCTACTTAAGGTACAGTACTTGAGTAAATGTACTTAATTACTTTGCAGCACTGAGAAAGAGTGAAAAAGAAAGAATTAGACAGACATTTGATCAGCCAGCAGACAGAGAGAACTGGACTAACTGTGAGGAAAGAGAGATTAAAGAGTGAGGGAGAGGCGGAATAAACGGTGCGCAAGGCAAACGAGGAGAGAGAGAGAGAGAGAACGGTGGACGTGGCACCTACTCTGCTCTACACGTCAACCGATCTGTGCACATATGCTCCGCACACAAGCGGACATTTAAACACACAGACCCGCTCTGACCTAACGCACAGTGCTCCTCTAATGTGCGGGCACACAGGCGGGATGGTGTCTCTTCTCTGGCCTCCACAAGTGATCCCTGCAGGAACCGAAGCTTTGGCTCGCACAGTAGTAGGTTACTGTCCTGTTGCGCTCTGCACCGGACTCCGTGTGGATAAGTGGATAACAGCTGTGGCTCAACCAGTCTATTGTAATGGAGTTAACTTAACACCCTGATAAGTTGTGGCACAGTGACCAGCACGGACAACCTGCACTATTTTTACACGCGGAGAAGGAGAGAAACTGTGGCTTTTAAACGCGCTGTGTGCATGTGAAACACTGTCCTCAGATCAGGCCTGCGCGTCCACACAGCATGACGGCCACAGTCCGGATCACACTCACATTCATCAATTCTACAATAAACACAGCCTGTTTCTGATTTATCAACAATCTGCGGCCGACCTCCCCACCACCCCCCCTCCCCGGTTCCCGCGCCCTCCTCTCCAGCGTTGCCCACCGCCACCGAGAACTGCCATAATGCAACAAATGTCCCGCACGATAATGAAAACAGTAGAGAAACAGTAGAGAAACTGCCGCGCACACAGCGACCCTCCACCAACCAGCTGAACGTGTCGGCTCCAGAGTGCGCTGAGACGGCGGAGAGGCTCACCAGAGACGTGGAGTCCATCGCTGCCGCCGCCGTGCTCGCTGCTCGCTGTGTTGACGTGGACAGCTCTGAGCTGTCACACCGAGATCACTGCTGCTTTTTTTTTTTTTTTACGGAGCCGCCCGGGCGCGCTCCCGCTCCCGCAGCAGCCAAGCGGATAGAACCAAAGGGAGCACAGCAGAGCGCGCTCCCGACCCTCCTCCTCCTCCTCTCGCTCTCTCCTAACCCTTTCACAATAAAAGTCTTTGTGCTCCTTCAGATATTTTTGGACAGTATGTTCATGATGTTAAAGGGGTAAGACTGTGATTGTCTTCATTTTTTATTTTTTATTTTCCAACAATTCCCACAAAAAGACCAAAATTAACAATCAATGGTAGGCTAGGTAATTATTATTAGCAGTTAATAAAAACACATCAGTGAGCCACACTGTTGCACTGAGTGGCAGCTTCCTTCATTACAATGGACGCTGTAGTTTATTTTTCATTCAATCCCACACACACTTGCCGTAAATGCTCAATGTGTACTCATCCGCCTCTAAAAATAGTCCACAATAATCGCACTAGTTCCTCTAGTCTGAGTAACATTTGATACAAACTACAGTGACCTGCTGTTTCAGTAAAGTTAACTTACTTTATTTCTTCATTATTTAACAAATGAAACTATATATGTGAGGCATTTTTAAAGATTCATGGTTTCAACAGGAACCAATGGCTTTGGGGCTGAGAACCACAGAGAAAGTAGTAAAGACAATGATGGTGTCAGTCATGGAATTTGTTGACAATAATAAAAATATAGCCTTACATCAGTCTTAAACAAATATATAAATATATCTTTTAAAAATTGTACTAACTCAAGTGGATGGCGGAGTCCACACCACAGCTATAACGACAACAGTGGCAAACGTTACTGTTGGGATCACTGTCAGAGTGATTTGATGAACGATATTGTGTTATAGTATGTAACCTGTGACATTCTGCCAAACAGTCTTTGGCGCTGATGGGGTCTCTGAAGTCCTAACTGATGTCCTCAAAAGACGACAGCTCCTGTAAGTGAGTGCTGGATTCTCCTAACTCCTCTTGTATTTGAAGAACTTTGTAAACCCATATCCTTCTGGTTCTCTTCTTGTTTTCTCTGCACAATGTACAGTCGTAACAGCTCATCAATATACATTTCCAATTAGGATGCCGACACAGCTGGAGCATGCAGTGTGTACTTGGAGCCAGTGTTTATGCAACAATATCATTCATCAGTGTGGATGCTTACTTTATTATTGCACTACCATGAAGTATTCGGGACTTGCAAGGTAAAATAAGAATAGTCAACATCAAAGCAGCAACACATCGCTTTTACACCTCTAGTTCAGTTCATTTGGTCCGACCCAGGAAGAAAGATACATACACAAGATACATTTTTTCCTTTCAGATCTGGTCAGGTTCATATTCACACTGACATCTCACAATCAAATCAAATGAAATAAATATAAAGTTATACAGATCGACATGTAACCCATTGGTTGGACACCAAATCACACAGGTTGTGAAAGCATCCTTGTTATGGGCAAAGCTGTGAAACACTGGATCCTATAACATCCATGATGCAGATGGATGGCATTGTTCATTGTAACCTTTAGCATCTGTATGAGACACACCAGGCTGCCAGAAAGTCTTTAGAAAGTCAAGTGATGTAGTTCAAAGAGCGACAAAGTCTACAGGACGTTGGAGTGGATGGGTGGGTCAAACAAACACAGGACTTTCACCCAGCAGACCGCTGTTTGAGTCCTGTGTGAAATGTAAAGTCAACATTGACTCATTTAAAGTTGTAAGTGACTTACATGTTATATCACAACATACTTAGTTAAACCCAAACCATGATTTTTTACCAAGTCAATTTGTTTCCTAAATCCTAACCAATCTGCATTTCCACGTGTTAAAAAGGCGTCTCATGAAAATGAAATGAAAAATCTACAGAGGGAGCAGGTCCACTTCTACTGAGTCTGCCATGTTTCTACAGTACAAGCTCTAGTTTTGCAGCCCCCGTAGTTTCTCCTAAACACTTTAAAGGCTGAGCTGTATTCAGATGGTTGCAACCTGCAACTTCACCACTTGATGTCACTAAATCCTACACACTGGCCCTTTAACTTTGTAAGTGAATAGGATTTTGAAAAAATACTGCAACCACAGCCGTTCTTGCTTCTAACTATTAAAGACGAAAATGTAATTATGCTATGTAAAATAACATGAATAAAAACTAGAACATCTGAAGGCCAGGTCTGTAAGTAGGCTAAGTAAGTAAGAAATGTCTGTACTGACTTCACTTTGAATATCAAGTGAATGCCACCCAAACAAGCTATAAATGAGCAGTTTGTGTCAATGTGAACAATTAGTGCTACAAATATTTGACTAAGATTTCTGAGACCGAAAGCGCATTCTCGATGCTCGGGCACGCGCCTCACCAGAAAATTGAGCGAGCCGGCACATCCCTCCTGCGCCCGCCCCTTCTCCTGGCGTTGCATTCTGGGAAACCAAGTTTATTACCGTGTAGGAAAGATGGCAGACGTGCAGCCGCCACCCCTCAGGAGCCTGGATGATTTTCTCCTCAGCTCGGCCCGGTTCGCCGTGCCCGACGTGCGCGACCTGGAGCGCTGGAACAACCGCATCATCAACAACCTCCTGTACTACCAGAGCAACTACCTGCTGTCCGCACTGCTCCTCCTGCTCATAGTGGGGTAAGTTTCATTATCATCTGACGTGGTCGCCCTCCCTCGCTTATAGCGAACATACTGGAAGTCTGTAGTAACAAACACTGTGAACTTGATATGGGATCTTCCTCCTCTGGGAGTGGAGAGATCTTTGCATCCCCGGCAGCAGCTACAGGGGGCCGTGTCCATCAGCATGACACAGACTGTTGTACTCACAGCTGAGGGATCACACTGTAAGTTTGAATTAACTGATGAAGATCAGAGTGAAATCCTCTGTCTCCACACCTCCCTCTCTGCCTCAGGGCTTCCTCTCTGATGGTCTTCATCACCTGTCACCATGGAGAGGCAGTGTGGGAACTATACCACGGCTGTCAGGGAAGCTCACTTTCTCTACTGTAGTGGGGGTGTATTTTATTTTTAGTTAATGACACTGGGCTTCAGCGGTGATGGCAAGAATAGAAGTTTTTAAAGTGAATTAGTGATGACAAACCATAGTTTACATCAATAGTACGTTTACACATAATCCCATGGCAAAAAATAGCATGTTGCAGTCCCTCCAGGAAGTTGGAATCACAACAATTAACGCAAATTCAACCAATCCCTGTCTCACTGGAATAAGTTGTCTTGTCACTTTCTTCTGCAATTTCATTGGAAAAATACCTAAAAACATCTCAACATGCATTGCAATTTTCTAGAAAGAAAGAAAATCACACTTTTTGGGCCATTTATGGCATTTGCGGCCTCAAACAGATGATATCTTGGAGGGGCTGATATTTTCAGTATTTTTGAGACCACCCAAAATCACAATTGTGTATTCAGGGGAGCTCATGTCTTATTAAGAGGAGCTCCCCTGTGGTTGGCACCTGGATGAGAGGGCAGGCTGTCAGTCAGCTAAAGGGACATCCTTTCTATTTCTGTTAAAGCCTTAAACTCAGAATACTCAAATGAATCTGAAAATAAAATGGCTGTACACTTGAGAGAGACCAGAAACCAGAATTTAAACCCCACTCAGGTGTAACTGCAGACACACTGGGGCCTGTATTTATCAAACATCTGAAAATTACAGTACACTTAAGATTGCTCCACAGAGTCAGATTAAGAGTGAAAAATGAGAATGAGACACTGTTCTTTGGTTTGGTGGCAGAAACAAAAATCAGCTTCTGCTGCACGTATACAGGAAATGAGCTGCATCACTTTAGGATGAGACTCATTGTCCAAAATCTCTCCGTATGTACAGTATGTTTGGAGCTGTAGAATCAGGAGGAAGCTGTAAATTCCTCTTCAAATAAAAGGCTAAGTAATTCCCCAAAACAGCTGGTCACTGTAGTTTTCATCAAACGTTACTCAAACAGGAGCACATTTGTTGGGGACTATTTTCAGCGGTGGATTAATCCAAGTGAATATTTGGGGCAGCAAATGGAGCAATGCCACTGGAACAATGGAGTTCTATGTCACAGAGGAATAAGATACACCGGGCTTTGATACACAAACAATACTTGTTAGTACTCTTTGTTACGTTGGCTCTGCACATGGGATTTGTTCCCAATAAGAAAAAAAAAACTGCCTCGCCTCTACAACTATAGTTTCATCTATCTAAGTATTTCTAACATGCTTTGTGTTTTTAATGTCTCTTTTCTCTCAGGTATTTTCAGCCCTTCCAGTTGTTTGTTGGGGCGACGGTGGTCACCTTGTTGTTCCTGGGTTTTGTCTGGGCTGCCGAGAACCAAGCTACCATTCGCCGTTTCCGTAGAAACCACCCGTCAGTCGCTGTGTTGGCCATTCTTTTGGCCAGTTACCTCTTCATATCAGTGCTGGGAGACGTTGCCGTGTTCCTGTTTGGGATAGCCTTCCCTATACTGAGTGAGACAGGAACATACACACACACACACACACACACACACACACACGCTGTATATCCCACCAAGCATGAAATTAACCTACCTACTTGCCTGAATAGTAGTTTTGGGCACCAACCCAGTTAGCACATCTCCAAAAATGAATTTATTTTATATTTTACAGAGTAAATTTTCTGACTTCTCTTTAGTGGCACATATCCACCCATGCAGACTGTTTTGGTTTTATTTAGAGAAATCCATCTCTGAGATTCCTGCAGGCTGAAGGTGAACCGAGTTGTGCATTGTCAGCAATATTTTCTATATATTCTACATGATGTATTACTCCAGATGAATTTCTAACATGATGAAAAACACAGATTTATTGCATGAGATGGGACGGTTGGTGTTGAAATGCAAATTAGAGACAAGTGGAACTTAGCAAGCATTTTATTTTTATTTATATACTGTATATTATTAAGTATCGAAATTTTGAGATCGATCTGCCCACTCCACCGCCCACTTGAAGCCACTATGCAAAAAAAAAAACTTTTTTTTTAATAACTTAACAATAACACAACAGCTCAACTGACATTAAACAGAGGACACAGTGCGCAACTATTTTCCTCCACACGTGCACTGTCACTGTGCTCGGCACCTCTTTACATGCTGCATCGTATCGTATTTTTATGTCATTTTATGCCACAAAATCAATTGCATTCTGTGCCATGAAAGGCTTAAAGAGTGTCACAAATCCAGGACCAAGTGTTCATTAATTTTCTTCCTTTTATGGTAAGAAATCGATAACATGGCTTTAAAATCTACAGAGCTCCATAGTGCATTGTGCACAATAAAGCATTTGTTTTGGTGTATATAATTTAGGGTTGGGTGACATGTCTGACCAGTTGCTGTCAGCCCAACAACCTAGCCTTACACCCACCTTTTCTTTAATAACAGTAGCGTTCACACTGCAAGCTCCATTCTGATTTATTGCTCGGATCAGATTTATTTATTTATTTTTTGTTTGGCTGTTCACATTACTTTTTGAATGTGGCCCATATCAGATTCCAGTGTGAACAGGGTACGGCCCTGAAGCGACCTGCATGACGAATCCATATAGACTGATATAACACATGAAAACTGATATGATTGTTCACATTGCCCTGTACCTGATTTGGACCACATGTCAAAGTGGCCCGAATCAGAATTGAAAAGATCAGATTCCATGTGATATATGCCGTTCACACTGTCATGAAAAAAAACAAGATCTGAGTAACATATGCTCAAAAAAATCCGATTTGGTCTGTGTGGCCCGCTGTGTAAACTTGGCCTAAGACGAGCTTTATTGCCTGAAACCAGAATCTTGTTAGTCTTTCCACTGTTTCAGCGATCACCAGCTCTGGTCTGGTCGAAATAAATCCGTAAATCACAGAGTTAGACTTATTATAAATTATTTTGGCTCTACATGCTGTTTCTCCTCGCACTTTAGTTCAGAGAGTGCACACTGTACTGCAGAATGAGTCTGTTGCTCAGCAGTAATATAATAATAATATTACTATTATAGAATATATAATAAAATATACATATAAAACAGGAAAATGTTTAAATAAAGGCCTGTCTCTAATGTAAACTTTTAATTATTAAAATTAAGGCCTGGTTTTCTCAGCAGTTGGGGTAAATCAAGGCCCGGCCAGTATTTGAGAATTCATGGTAATTTGAGAGTGTGAGAGTCTAATTTTGTGAGTGTGTCAGCTTAGTTAATCTTAACGTGCTGTTAGCTAGCTAACTAGCCAATAATATATTCCCTCTCTCTGTGTCTGTCGCTCCCTCACAGTGGTTCTGGTCCATGCGTCGGTGAGGCTGCGCAGCCTGAAAAACAAGCTAGAGAACAAACTGGAGAGCATTGGTCTGAAGAGGACACCCATGGGACTCCTGTTGGAGGCTCTGGGACAGGAACAGGAGGCTGGATCCTAGAGAGAAAGAGGAGGAGGAGGAGGTGTGCAGGGGTGGGGGATAGTTTGGGTACCATCTGAGGGGAATGGCAAGAGAAATGGATGTGAAGTTGGTGGGAAATGGGAAGAAGGAGAAGGAGGGAATTACTGCGGGGCAAGAGGAAGAATAAAAAGATGAAGTAGAAAGTAAGGAAGAAAAAGGGTGGTTTGGTTTGTACAAACAACCAATCAGAAGTCACCAGTGAAGGAGGACACCCATTCTGTAGTCTAATGGGAATAGGACAGATGAAATGCACAGAAATCATAATAACAAAGAAATCATCCCTCATCTGCCAAACCTTGCACTTTAAGCACTCATTGTTTCGTTTCATTTATTTTGACATGATACAGTTCTTTCCTTGCACTGAGTGTGCAGTGACGTAGCCATATGGTCATATTCAAAGCTTTGATATGATTTGTATAAAGTTCTTCTCCTTTGAGTCATTGTGTATCTGCACATTGACTCAGTGATTCATACTCTACCTGCCCTCTCCTATCTAAATATTGATCTGTGCTCCATCTCAGTGCCTAAATAGCTATAACGCCAATACCGTCATAATTATGTGAGACAGAGTTTTGAGAACAGTTGCAACTTTACGTGAAAAGCTTTGATGTTTTGAGTAACGGTTGTAATTTTTACAAGAAAAGGTTGTAATATGTGCTGTGCTCAAGCTGATGCTTCAAAACACGTTCACTTATGGACTCATCACATCACATCCTGTGACTGATTTAATTTAAGTATCCTTCCAGTAAGCACTTTGAGAATAAAGTTCTTATTGATAAAAAAATATAAATAACTTGAAGTCATCCACATTTCTCACTCGACATGTTGAAGCTGACTGACCTGTTTACTACGACAGAGTATTAAATTCTAATGTTAGAACTGAAACATGACTTCATTTTTCTGACATTACTCTTCTAAACTTTTGCTCTTATAGAAGTACAACTTCATTCTTATATGATAATGTCATAATATTTAATATTATAAAATAAATGTTTCTTGTGAAGTTACTTAAGTTACTTTATTTTTGAAGTATTGTAAAATTATGTTATATATATATATTTTGTAATGTTATTACTTTTTTATGTAAAATACAACTTAATTCTTGAACTATAGATATTTTTAACTTTATTACCATAATTTTTTTTCTTGTAAAATTACCATGGTGTTTGAGCATATTATGACTTTTTCTTATAAAATAACAAATTTGTCCCTTAATGTTATGACTTTTTCTCGCAAAAATCCAACTGTATTCTTGAAATATGACTACTTTTTCTCAGAAAATTGCAACTCTACTCTCAAAACCTTTTCTCCCCTCACAGTGGCCCTTATACTCCATCATACAGAGCCCCCAGATTTATTTTCTTCCTGCCGGGGTCTCAGTACACACATCATAAGCACAATTGTGGAAAACCAAAGTATTGATACCGTGCCATATATGTGGTAGTAGTACTTATTAGCCTTTTAATTCTCTCATCATAGCAAGAGGAACAAAATATGATTAATGTCGAACCACAGTGTGACATGCAAGTATTATGTCCATACTGTAAATACAGAGCAAAACAGCAAGTATGACTAAGTACATACCAATGTATCCAACAGGTCCATTACAGCCCCAGACCACTACAAAAGTAAATGTATAAGATTTAAGCTTGTATTTATTCTAGCTGCTTCCCTCCAATGTCTTAATTTAAAAAGGATCAATCTCATTTTAATAATCAATTTTGTTGTTAATGAACGAGGTTAAAGCTGCAGAAGGTGACTTTTATAAAAATAACTTTTTGTCATATTTGCTGAAATGTTTACTGTGTCCTGATAGTAGTACATGAGACAACAAATCTGCAAAAAAAATCTGGTTCCTTTGGCCCGTTCATGTGCTCCTAATGGAATTTGCAGGAATTGCGGGGCCTGAACAAAAACAACCAGTCAGAGCTGAGAAAGATATAAAGACGCTTTGGGTTGGTGGCTTGAAGATAGTTGATCGTTAAGTCTCAAAGCATCTGAATTTAGAACCTGGGGATGAGACTCAGCAATCAACAATCTTCCTTGTCTCTGATTGGTTGTGTTTGTTCAGGCCCAGTGGATTTGTGCAAATGCCATTAGGAGCACAATATTTTATTTAGTTTCAGCAAATATGACAAAGAATATTATTTTATATAATATGTATTTATATAATATAAAATTATCTACTACAGCTTTTATCTATCTGTCTTTAATAATCGTGTTGTAAATTTCCAATAACTCGAAGTAACTTGACTTGCAATAACTGACTTCATAGGAATTCCCTTTTCTTTTAGTGTTTACATTACTTTGTGTTGCATTGAAAAGTGACTTAAATACTTAAATGAAGTGAAGGTTCGAGGTTGGAAGGAAATGGGAGGTTTTATATGAAGAACAAGTTCAGAACAAATCCAATCAGCTCCTTAAATCCAAGACTTTATTCAGCATGGTGTTGATAAAGGACCAACAGGAGCATGAGTGATTCGTAGCCTGTATTTATCCAGAATAAAAGGCCTCACCCACAGAGCTGCCTATTACAGTCCTCCTCTGCTGGTCAGTGGGAGTTGCCCAGTCTTCCAGTGCTGGCAACTGGGAGAGGCTCTACTGGAGCAAATTAATAACTTTGAATTTACCCTTAATTCCTTTAGAACTTAAATCCTTGTTACCATGAATAACTAACACTAACCAATAACATTTGTTGGTAGCTGTGCCAGCACTTGTGGTGACTGTAGTTTGCCATTTTCTCCTTTGTAATTTGCTATGTTTTTAGCCATGCTAGCGATTCGTCTTTAGGGAGAGCAATGTTGGCCAGTTGGTCTACCACTTTGTGCCAGACTGAAATATCTCGACAATTATTGGATGAATTGTGAGATTCATGGTGCCTAGAGGAAGATGCTTACTGACTTTAGTTATCCTTTGACTTGTTCTCTAGCGCCACCATGAGGTTAAAGTTTTCAATTATCCAATGAAGTATCTTATCATCTTCTAAAGGGATTGGGACAACATTTCAATTTCCATTTATTTTGGTGCAGAAGTCCTTACGTTATATGTGGGTTAGTGTTCTGCTATAGCTTCTGTAACTTCTGAAACTTTACCAGGGCCGCAGTGGAAGTACAGATGCCATTGTAGCTTGGTTTAATAACAGCTGACAACAACATGCCGGATCTAACCATGGACTCGCTGCTTGATCTTCGACCGATGGGTAATATTGGAATTGGAATGGAAATATTAATGTTAAAAGAAAATTTTTTAAAAATTACAACCCTTATCAAGACTCGTAAGGAGTGAACCACGTGACATAAGCCTATTTTGAATTAAGTCTTATTACTTCTGGATCCGAACCCGGAAGTTCCAGCTTCACTCCGGCTGGCTATACCCGCAAAACTTTCATCAAGCCTCAGCTGTACTTTGTGTTTAATGCTAGCAAATGTTAGCTTACTAACATGCTAAACTAAGATGCTGAACATGCTTAAGCACACTGACATTAGCATTTAGCTAACGTTGCTGCTGGATGTTTTTTATTTATTTACTAAAATAAAGACTTTCTGAAGAGTCCACAATCACTCCCAACTACACCAGTATTAAAGATGGGATTTAAACCCTCACCTCATTCCATAAACCTGAACACACCACTTCAGACACCATTGTTCACATGAAGCAGGATGTCCAGAATTGTAATGTACAGGCTACATGGTTGGTTCCTGATATAGGACCGCTCTTTGTAGAAAGACAAAAAAGACATTCCTGTGTTGTTCTTATGAGCTTAGGAAATTTAGAAAACATTACTATGAAGGAAGGGTTTTTCAGCAGTTTTATAGCAAATGATTTTGTACAAGAAAAGCTCAGTGAAGGTATTTGACAAATTGAAAGTTATTTTATTGTATACTAGCTGCCTGTTGTGGGGACTGTTTATTGTTACGGCTTTGTTGAAACCTGATATAAGAAAAACCTGTTCTAGACATATGTAGGTGGTAACCTACCTCTGCATCCTGTATTAAAGGAACTGGGTTTCATTATGTATTATTTTCATTCCTTGGATGGTTTCAGATTCTTCCTGACCGTTTCTAATCCATGTTTGTAAAATTGGCTGCAAGAAGGTGTTTATTAAGATGCGAGACGGCCAGCTTTTGTTTTTATGTATGCCTTTTTGATGATTATGTGGTTGACTATTGAAGACTAGCATCAGTGCCCTGCAGAAAAAATAACCCTATTAAGTGGTTTGATGTTTGTTGATTTGTCTTATTGTGTAGCCTATGTGCCATTTTAGTTTTGATATTTGCCTTGTACAGTTATGTCAGACATTTAGCTGAAGTACTTAAACAGGGCCACATGAAAGTGGCTGGGGACATAGCTGTTCCAGGGCTTGAACAACCTACTGTTATATTTCTAGTGCTAGAGCAGCCTGCCCTATTGGTGGTTTGTCTTGGCTTTGCATCACTAAACACAAGTCAGGAAAAGCACTTAAATCTGAACAAAAAGAAACACTTTTTGGCTACTTTGTAACTCTTAAGCATTTGCTGAATTACTAGAATGTAAACAGAGAGGAGAACATTTCTGCACAACAGTGCACATTTAATTACTTTACAGGTGATGAGTGTGAAGGTTGCCTCCATTCAGCTAAATGTTTGAATTGTCATTTACCAACACCATGTTTTCAACTCTTGTGCCAAATGCTGGTAATTCAATTTATTTAAAACATTTTTTAAATAAAAAAGAATGCTGTATTGCAAAGTGTATATGGACTTGATGATTTTTCCCCCTGTTATTCATAAATGAAAAATATCTTGGAAATTCAGGTTGTCATTCCACATAACAAGATGAAGCAGTAATTAAACCCAGTCATGATGGAGAAAACAGCTAAACGCCAGTAAAGCTTTTTGATTTACCAACATTTAGTTTATATATCTTTCTTTTCCTGGCAGTAATGGGCTTCCATATTTTTGGTAACATTGTTAAATTGAGTCAGGTACTCTGTTGAGGAAGGCTAGTCAGGAATAAAAATGTTATAAAAACCATTGACACATGTCATCTCAGGACCTCTCAGATTTATCTTGTGACCCTTTAAAGTGCCAGAGCCCTAGGTTAGGAAACACTGGACTCAACTGGCTTATTGTATCTAAAGTAGTAAAAACCAGCTCTGCCCGGAGCAGCTAGTAAAACAGTAAAATGCTGCTCTAATATTCATTCAAGAGTATTAATCTAATAATGTCGCATACAGGGGCAGATCAATATAGGTGGCATGAGGTGGCAGTTGCTATCCTTAAATGCCTAGCCACCCCAGCTGCCACCCCAGTTTGGTGTCAAATCAAATGTAACTCATTATTTAGATACATTTTAACCAATGTGTTTAAAAATGGAAATTGATTTAGTGATCACATAATGATTATGGCCACATTTTAGACTAAGTTCAATGAAATTCAATGAAAAAAGACATGTATTTGGAAAAATGTATTATTTCTAATGTCACCTTTAGATACTCCTATTCAGTGCTTTGTGCCACAGTAATGTAATGTTTTGAGTTCATATATCTTCATTTGGGAGTTTTACCAAGCTAATATTGATATATGTGATTGTTTGGGATTAAATCAATATATATTTCTGCCACCATCAATATTTTTCTAGATCTGCCCCTGGTCACATATAGTAATATATCAGTCACAGGAAGAAGCATTTTACTGCTTTTACTTCTGATACTCTAACTACATGAAGCTGATTATACTTCTAAACTTTTACTAAAGTAGGATTTTGAATGCAGGGCTTGTACTTGTGATGAGTATTAGTAGTATTGTTACAGGCAGGATGTGAATACTTCTTCCACCACACATCATATACATTTTTCTACAACAGAATAAATAAAATGGCTACAAATATTTGTCCTGATATATTTTACCTTTCACATCAGATCATAGCAAGAACTTTCTCACACACAGCAGTTGTTGCCTCAGACACAGACTTCCCCTAACACACAACACGCAGTTGGGGTTTTTTTTTTTTCCAGGGAGGAGTTATTATGCGTCATCGGGGGGTGTCGCTATATAAAGGTCCCACCCTCACAGTCCACCCAGAACAGAAACTGAAGCCGGGACCGTGTGGATTGTCAGAGAGCAACTGGAACACTCTGGCACGGAGCTCAACACTCAACAACCGCCTGTGGTGAGACACATGATGATATTCTTATATGAACCACTCAGGAGTCAGCGCCAGATATCTCTGTGATATTCCTGTAATGTTCCTGTTAGAGCCTGTGTGCTGTGTTTGACAGGACTCACTGTGAGTACAGTCATGTGTAGCGGGATTTTCTGTTATTTGCCTGTTTAGTCCAAACGCTGCGAGGTGTTTGTGTTAGAGCCATCCGTTCACTATCAGCTGCTGATGAAAACATTGTGCAACCTGTTGCTCCGGTTGATCTGAACATAGATTTCCTTCATACGCACAGAGGAAAACAACAGGAAACATGACAACAATAACTCAGTGGGACTGGAAACATACATTAGTATTTACATCATCCTAAACCTTAGTGCGATGGAATGTAACTGAGTACAGTATAAGTGTTAGAAGTAAATATAAGATACTTGTCCTTTACGTGATTCATTCTATAATTCTAATTATCTGACAGCTTTAGATACTGCTCATAAGCTCATAATGCATTGTAATATGAAATAGTTACTTCACCCCCACCAACTACAACAATGAAATGCATCTTACACATTAATGCAGGGCCTTAATAATAATAATAATAATAATAATAATAATAATAATAATAATAATAAATTACATTTATTTATATAGTGCTTTATCTTGATTCACCCAAAGTGCTTCACAGTGAAGGTGGGAGACTCAGCTCAGTCACCACAAATGTGAAGCACCACATCCATGTCAGCCAATGATTGGCAAGTTTGGATTGAGAATTTTGCCAGGACACTGGGGAACCCCCAGGGGGGGTTGTGTGCTATGAGTACTTTTACTTTTGATTGCCTACTTTAAGATTCTGATACTAATACTGAAGTACTTGGAGTAACATGAATACTACCACTGTTGACTACATGTAATAGCAGCCTATTAACCAACACAGTAGGCTATTAGAAGTCTATGTAAAATAGTGGTCTGCTAGTTTATATGGCATTTAAACCTGTATTGAATAGAATAGAATAACACTTTATTTTCTTTATTGACAGTTCATTAAAACATGCAGCATATAAGGAAGGCACAGACGGGAATAAAATACAATACACAAAATTTGAGAAGACCAAATAAAAACCAACAAACAAGAAAGCCTATGTACCCTAATGTTACACCAGACTGTGTTACCATGTAGCAAGACCCTAATTTCCTCTAGACCACACAGTACAAGATTATTCTTGACTAGACAATGTATTAGATGACAGAGTACACTACACTGAACTATAAAAATCTGTGTATTCTGTAGTTATTTATATCCCTGGGTCTTAAGGTGGTGCTGAAATTTTTTTAAACTCCAGTTATAGTCAGCTGTTCCACTGCAGCTCCTGTAAACAGGTTACCATAGCATGAAAAGTAAACCCAGTGTCCTGTCAGAGGGAGGAGACAGGGAAAGGGTTTTTCCAGGCAAACACTGGCAATTACATCATGTGGCTGCAGTGAGGCAGTGTGGGGCAGGCAGGTGGTTACCAAACCCTTTCTAGAAGTAGGTCGAAGTTACTTAGAGTGATAATACAGGCCGGCTCTACCCTGTCTGTCTTCCTTATCTCCTCATACAAACTGTCAAACTTCTCAACTGCTGCAGGTCAGGCTGCACTGACAATGGAAGATTAGTGTTGATAACTGTAGTGCCGTTATTATTATCACTAGTGTAATAACACTAGCTAGTGGTGGAGCAAGTATGCATGTCCTTTACCTTAGTAAAAGTAGTAGTTCAATTATTTATTTGCTGTCTTACCAAAAGTTAGAAGCAAAGATCAACACCACTAATGTCTTTATGTTAAATATGAAGCTACTGCTATGAAGCTGATTAGCCTAGCTTAGCATAAAACCTAGAAATGGGGGGGAAACAGTGAGCCTGACAAAATGTGTGGTTTTTACACTTCAGTTTTTGTATGGGTTTAACAAATGTCTGAAATACATTCGTATTTTACATTAAAAAAAGTTAAAAAAAAATAGTTAGCAGCCCTAACAATCAGGCATATTAACATCAATCATTTTTTGCAATAACTAACTATAATATTTGGCCGTGTAGTCAGTCCTCTGCTCTGATGTAAACTGTTCTCTTAATTCACAGGAAGAAATATTTGTGAAGTTTCCATGAAGAAGTTTTGGATGAGTCTGTAAGAAGGGGAAAGTTTCACAGACAGACTTTGTTTCTAGATTTTTTTTTATCACAATCAGCCCTAATTTCCTTCAAAAACCCATTTCTACACCTGGACACTGAGAAGCTCTAACAGAGCAGTCTGCAAATGTGTAGTGCTTTGCCTTGATCTTCTAAGAACTTTACACTTTGGCCAAGGACACTACCACTACAAGAAGTGACACTCGTTGTGGTGGTGACTGAGCTGAGCCCTGGACTCTTTGCACATCGTCTGACTTATCAAAGACCATGCAGTACCTAAAGAAATATTTCACAGAGGGCCTTATCCAGATGGCCATTCTGCTCAGCCTGAGTGGAGTGCGGGTTGACGTGGGACTGGAGCCCTACCTGCCTCCCTCCTGGCACGAGATGATCCTGGGTCCGACCTCTGCGCTGACCCAGACACAGTTCCACAACCTGCGCAACCGCCTTGAAGACGGCCAAGGCCTGCACCCCAAGAGTGTGGATCTGGACGGGTTCTTCACAGCACGACGGCTACTGGGCTGGGTCCGCACTCTGGATAGACTGCAGGTAGGAAAACGTCTCCATATTTATCTGGTAGCATTCAAATGGAGTTAGAATGATAAGGTACTAAGGGTAATAACAATAACTAAGGGTTTAGTTGTTTCATTGTCGCTATGTACAGTTCTTATTTAACAGAGGCTCTCACAAATTAAGACTATACTACATTTCAGAAAGTCAGGATTGATTAAATATACTTATTCACTTTCTTGTCGAGAGTTAGATGAGAAGATTGATACCACACTTGTCTGTGCAGTAAATATGAAACTGGAGCCACCAACTTGTTAGCTTAGTATAAAGATGGGAAACAACAAGCCTGCCTCTGTCCGGAGGTACTAACAGAGGAAAAAGAAAATCTACGTACAAGCACGTGAGCCAGACAACCAGTGGAGACACTGGGTGCTGGGCAGTGGTTTTAGTTACCTTTGGACAGAGCCAGGTGAGCTGTTTCCAACTCTATGCTAAGCTTAGTTTACTACTACTACTACTACTACTACTGAGAAGTAAGTCGATCACATGGCAAGAAAACATGTACAACTCTTTCTCAAAATCTCTACTGCTCTTTTAATCTCTTGTAATCTCTTGTTATAGTTCCAAATTGTGTGTTTTATACCATGTTTTTGACTCCTACTGTAAGCCCAATGAGCATTTGGTAGGAATATCACAGATTGTTGAATTTTAAAATGTTTCCTACCTTTAACCACAGGTTCCTCATGCAGAGCTGGAGACATGGCTGGTCCAGCGGGAGCCAGATCCTCTCCCTGTGGTATTTCCAGACCAGCCCTCCCCACTGGTGAGAGCACCTGCTGGGGTGGAGAGAGACCGAATTGCCCCACCTGTGGAATCCAGAGCTGCACTTGGTACCCTGCAGGAAGAACAGGAGGAGGATGAGCAGGATAAAGAGGTACGGCTGTTTCATTCACACTGTGTTAAAGAACATTTAGGATGCATATTTTAAGTTGTTCTCGAGTAGTTATCTTGATCAGAATTGAGGCACTTGGTCAAGAATCTTCACTGTTCAGTATTGTTCTGCCATATTTCCAATCTAGGAATGTTTATTGTAGATGTTTAAACTTTTGAGATGCAGCATATTCTTAGGAAACAACTAAACTGCCAAAACTCACACACCAAGCTCTTGTCCTCTTCACATACCCAGCAGCCTTCTATGGTTTCTATGGTAAAATGCCAATGTAGTTTCGGTGATAATAAATATATTCTTAGTTCAGGTTCAAGGGTTGACATGGTTATGTTTAGTTCAGATCAACAATCTCAATTGACCTTCGGCCTTACCATAACCCTGTAGGGGTGTAGAGCAAAAACCTTTGTTCATACAGCTTGTCAGGTAACAGAACTTCTGCACGAGCCTAAGGACAAACGTTGTTGGCTTTTATGAAGGGTTAACCCTCAGACAATTACCAACTGACTCTGTCAGTTCTGCCCCGGCTCTATAGATCTTTATATATTAACTGTTTTGGTCTGGTCTCACCACTTTCTGTTATCAGTGAAAAAGCTCTGAAAAGCCGCTGTACACTAGCTGGTCAACATAGTGGAGTTATATAACAGTTAATGAGCCAGATACCAGAGACCAAAATATAGACCAAAATAGAGCGTAACGTACAGTAGATTGAATAATGGACATTCATTGTGACTTCGAATGAATGTGAGTGTCTCTCTGTGTCTGCTGGGTGTGTAAAAAGGCGTAAAAGAGTAAAAGTTGCCATATCAACTAAAAAGGTATTACATTTGGTGAAGAGCACAATATGACGTGTTTAAGACTCCAAACTCAAAGTTTAGGACTTGGAACTTGTCAGTCTTGACTTGGAACTTGAGACTAAGTTTTGACTTGCAAAACACTGACTTCGTCCTTTTTCTTGTCTTTGAGAAGTCAAAATTGTTTGATTTCTACAGCCGAACAGCAGTCTGTAAAATTCAGTCACTCACAAAGTCTGTCAGAAGACTACTGACTTCCCTAAAGTGCTTAAGAAAATAAATATATAGAATAAATTATTGATGTGGACAAGATTGCTGCTTTTGTTTTTGACTGTCACTAAAACTGAGTGCAATGTCATGTGAGATAATGAGTCAGAGTTAGATGAGTCATGAGGAAACCTCACCTCACCACAGATGACCTCACCAGGAAAATGAAGAAATACAGTCGGTACAGTTGAAATACAGTAGGAACCCCCTGCTGGAGAGAATACACCTTTTAGATAAACACACATAAACAGACGCAGTAGACTGGGAGTAGTAGACCTTTTCAATGCCCTGTGCTCACACCTCAGTAACCTGTTTACTGCTTGATTTCTTAAATCATAATGTAAACAGGAAAGCTGAAAAGTAGACTGATTGTAACATCTAAGCACATTCAAATAGGGAGAGAAAAATCTATGCTCTCTTCCTGTGCCTAAAAGACCATTATTGACCATTAATAATGGCTCAAATGATGTGTCATGGGTTGAACTCACAGATAATTATCATCCAACTGCAGTCTTCTTCCCAGCCATATGCAGTGTTTTAGCATCTTTCTCATTGTTTTGTTTGTATGGCCTGCTGCTTTAATGTTGTGGTTCACTCTCAGCACTGTTTTTGGCTGCAGCAGGGGGCCGTTTTCCGTGAAAAAAGTTCTGAGTGGAGCATTTAGCAGCTAAAGAGCCAGATATTTTTATTATCAAGAGTTGGTAGTGAACAAAAAAGAGTGAATATATATATTTGTCTTATATTTATATATATATATTTGTCAAGTGGCCAGAAATACAACTCCAAATAAACACTAATGTTGCTACCTCTGCACAATGTGTATCCAGGTAACTGTTTGCGAGCAGTTTCATGTAGGAACCATATTCTTTCTACATATCACCGTGCAGAAGGAAGCGTGCATCTACTCATGCATGAGGGGTGCATGCTCATGACAGTGCAGGATGTATATATGAATGGCATCGGCTGAGCTGTAACTTTAGCTAGCTCACCTAGCTCCACTGAGATTCAGCTGCGGTTGGCGGGTGTAGTTAGAAAATAGTCTGTGGACCATCTTGAGTAACCTGGTTGTAAATTCTAAAAAAGCACCACAAGCATGTTGGGGTGAACAAGATACATCATGTCAATCAGTGAGCTTTAGAGGAGCAAGGTGGTTGCCCCCTGCTTCCATTTTTTATGAAGCTAGGCTCATCCTGGCTCCAGCTTTGTTTGTAACACACAGATCATCTGATCTGGGTGGCACCACTGACTTCGTGTTCTTGCCTGCATGAACTCATTTATTATTGGCAACACCTCAGACATGCCTGTTCAAGCGTTGGCTGTCAGATCTTTAACTTCAGATGGTGACATGTCAAAACTGCATTTTCAGAGCACACGGGATGTCTACAACAGCTGAAAGGGCCACTCCTAAGCCTAGTGCCTAAGGCTTTTAGTTCGCAGAGTAAAGCAGGAAACATTTCTACAGACTGAAGCAGGATTATACTTCTGAATTCTGAATTCTGATTCTCAGAAGATCATTTCCATTATATTTAATTCTTTATAAACAATGAGATCACCAGTCCATCACTTTATGTAGGATCACATAAACTACACTGTGGCAAAAACAAAACTCCCAAAGATCCCATAACATACTCAGACACAACACAGAGGCAGGTGCTGTACAATATATAAATAGCCCACATATTGGCCTACATGTCCTGTCCAGTCTGGACATGCACACGCACACACACACACACACACACACACACACACACACACAAAGTTATGTAACAGAGTCATGTGCAGAAGTGTTTCAGGGTTCCAGTATCAAAGTATTAGTGCCTCTCGTGTATTTTGAATTCTGCAACACATTGTATGAGTGTGTGGAGATTTGAATTAACCAACACTACTGAATCACCACACACAAGGTTGGTGGAAGTTTTTGGTACGTCAGCAGCATCATATATGCACAGGGCAGGCATCCCAATGGACCATGTAGCACAACATATTTTAATACTTATTCTTGTTGCATAAATTATTATTTAAAACTCTAAACTAAAGTCTAACCAGTTTAAATAGAAGATGAACTAACTCAAGGGGAATAGTCATATATGTAGTTTTGGGAAAAGTCACATCTTGTTTGGGAACAGTTATATATGGGAGTCATTGGCTATCTGTTCAGTCGTTAGAGACATTAGAGGCTACTAGTCGTTGAACCGTGGCTGCATTTGTTTTTAGTGATAATGTAAGAGCTATTGGATAACAAGTTGGTCTGAAGAGTGAGCTTATTAACCGAGGGAACAGCCTAGATTATTTTTGTTTGTTTGGCCAACTCACAGAATGAACATTAAAAGATGTGTATGATTTAGTGGCATCTAGCATCAATCAGAACACTGACATCAGGATATAAACTTTTACTTTTTTTTTTTTACTCTTGCTTATAAACAATAAAAGATCAAATACACATTATGGTTCATTAAAGCGTGAATGCCTCCCTTTTCCTCCACCAAAATAAAACTTTCAACCAACTGTGAATGCTCCCTGTGCTTACATTAGGCAGTAAAACAGAGGCTGGGATACACTCACAATCTCTCAACAGTATATGTTTTAGTTTTTTTTTTTTTAAGAAAAGACAATGAAAAATTAGGAGAAAAATGTTTTGAAAGCAGGAAAACCATATTTAGTGATGGAGAGCAGACAGGGAACACATGAAATGAGAAAAACTGATCACACTAGGATTGAAGTATTTCAGTTTGTTATTAGGAGTTACAGCTGAAGCTCAGTGTCATTTTACAGCATGCTGGACATTTATATATCTGTACACACACATGCTGAGGACAAACTTGATATAGGACATAGAGCTCTATGGATGCCGGACTGTTACTTGCTCCTCGTCACACTGAAAGTGAATGTAACAGTGTTTTTGAATTCTCTTCATGTATCAAATGTCACACAAACACAAACACATTCCATCTCTCTCTCTCTCTCTCTCTCGCTCGCTCGCTCGCTCGCTCGCTCGCTCGCTCACTCACAAAGACAAATATAGCTGCTCTACATCTCCACAGCCAGATGAAAACATCTTCATGTGTTGGTGCTCAGCAGCGTCTCTGAAAGAGAGACTTCTGGCATTGTTAACAAAACTTCATTAAACCAGCATTCTGTGTTAACGTCGTATCTGCTTTACAGGGAGTCAGAGGAAACCTGAATATTAAACACAAATCTCAATTATTATAGTTGGCATCAAAGCAGCCAGCTTTATTAAGATATTAGCATGGAGGCTAATATTCAGTAAATAATATATAGAATATAACCCATATAATATAATAGTTATAAATTTAAAAAGCCCAAACTGAATATAAATGCTCCATATTAACCTTTTAACTCTGAGGTTAAATCTCAGAACAGAAATGAATATAGCAACTTTAAAAAATAGGTTTTTTCTTTGCTCATGGTGGGGATTGTTGTTTCTGTAAATAATGTTATAAAAGGAGTAGAGTCTGCTCTATATTAACTTATGTAATGACTCAAATCAAATGGAAATAATAATAATAATAATAATAATACAGTTTCTCCAAATTCAGCCCAGATTTGGTGTCTTTGTAAACTTTAACATCTCCGCTAGAACAAATAAAGTTCTGGACAAATGATATCAGTTTTTAAAGATGGCTGAAGGCGGATGACGTCAGGATGCAGTTTGATAACATTTTTAGGGCATCACCTCTCGCTCCAAGCGTGTGGCTGCAAAAAACTCTTTTTTGGTTTGTCCATTCTGGGCTACCGTAGAAACATGGTGGACCGGCTCCCTCTGTAGATAAAAACATCTCATTCTAAGGTAACAAACACAGAAATATTCTTATTTCCAGTTGATTAAACACTAATGAAAATATGATTATATTATATTTCTAGCAGATCCTGAGAGTGAGAAGCTGAACCAGAAGACATCGAGGACCA